CATCATGCTCAGATGTTTCCAAAAATAAAACTCTTAAAATGTAACTGTTTTCCTGATAACAAAATCTACACATAATAGAAATAATTTTTATCCTGCCTTTATTTTCCAATCAGCAAAACTGAGATTAAGTTGCTTCAGTAATAATAAAGAAACATTTATGGTTTTGGATCAACGAAGCTAAAGCAACACTAAGCGTTTCCTTACCATTCCTCCACTACATTTCAGGTAGTTGTTTCTACAGTATTATACATACCGCAATAATGAGTCCACTAGGTCCATTTATGTTATCAACCCAACCCTAAAAGTAAAAAGCTCTCTATTAGTCATACATGTCAGAAAATCATAATATACTGGTAACATCTGCAGTCAGATCTTAATAAATTTCAAAAAAAAAGCACTGAGACTGCAGCCAATAGAACAGTCTAATCTAGTTTTTCGAAGACCAGAAACAAAGATAAGTGGCAAAGCAGTGGATATTGCTTCACTTGTGCAAGAATGAAGATTCTGCCAGCGTTCTGGAAGAGTCATGGAGAGTATCAAGTTGTTTTATGACACCTTACAGGCTAAATTGCACCTTGTCTTAATATCATAACCTGCCAACCCATTCACTGACCATTGTTTTTCTCCACCTCAGGCTTAATTTTAATTCTCCAGGGGAACACTACAAATTAAACGTGATTTATAGGAATTATCCAGTTCTTGAAAATTTGAAAAGTCATAGTGTCCATACTCTACTTGCATTAGCTTGCTTAGAGATGTTAACGATAAGAAAACGTTCAGGAGGAGTTAGAGGAAAATGTCTTTTTGAGTTTGTCTCCTAAGCCCGAAGCAAGTCAGTTGACCTTATTATGTCTGTTTCTTTATCTGTAAAAGTCAAAGTGTGTGTGTAAAATAGGGGAGGAGAGAGAGGAGAAGATGAAGGGATTGTTGAGTCTTCTACTAAGGACCAGGCATTACACTAAATACTCCTCATACCTTGTCTCATCTGACTGACTCTCCAAAGTGGGCCCAGTATTGGGCTAAAACAGTATTAGCCCAGTTTTATAATTGAGACTGCTCAAAAGACTCCATTGTCAGTAAGCAGTACAGCTCAAATTTTGGGGGCCCTAAAGCTTCACAAAATTGCTTCAAAAAAGATGGTATAAATTAGTGTACTTTCAAAAGCATATTGCAATACACAGACACAAAAATTATTATTCCTACACTGAGAATGTTCTGTGAACTTTGTGATTCTTACTTACCCTGGCAGTTGTAATACTACCGATTTGGCCATCAAGAACATTCTGGTACATTTAAACTATAGAGGGGAAGCCAAGAACTAAAACTATCTCCTACGGTATTTTCAGACTAAGGTTAATGAGAAGCAAATTTAAGTTCTCCAGCCAACTCTAGGCTCCCAGAGGAGCATCATGCTGGACAGATGCTGAACCAAACATGGAATTTTGTCCTAATACAATGGGTTCATGTTCGATTTGCTGCACTCAGCTGTACATTCTGAAAAGAGAAAGGCAGAGAGAGAGGGACAGGACATCAGAAAATAATTGGGTGAGAAGGATGCTGGCTTGGAAGCAAAGCAAGGAATCTGGAATCCAGGTGAACGGCCTTACCGGGAAAGGCTCCTGCCAGGTTGCTCCCACAATGGAGGGCCTTATGATGGCAATGTTTAGGTTCCCACTCTCCTGATGCACCACCATTTCTCCCAAGGCCTTGGTGTACGTGTAAGTATTGGGCCGATCCCCGATCAGCTTGGGTGTGATCTCGTCAATAATAGCATCATCTAACCACCTGAGGGTAGTCAAGAGTACAAAGAATTCTAGCAACACGTGTTAGACAATAGACAAAAAAAAAAAAAAAAAAAAAAAAAAAAAAAAAAAGGAAAGGAAAGAAAGAAAGAAAGAAAGAAAGAAAGAAAGAAAGAAAGAAAATAGAAAAAAAGAAGAAAAGAAAAATTGAAGAGAAAACAAAAAAAAAATCCCCCAAATAAGACCCTGTGAGACACAAACAACACTTTTCATTTCTCGCTTGAGTTCGGAATTCAGAACAGTCACAGGATACCAAGGTTGAAGGTTGAGTGTGCATCTGTCCAAATCCTGTGTGCTGAATGAGCTCTTTGTTCTGTACTGCTAAGCCCAATCTTACCAGTTGAATCCTGTTTCCTCCCCCTTAGATCAATAAATTCAACAGCGATGCAATCTACTACTTTATTACGCTCGATCTCTAATTATCACCGATTATTTCCTCTCCAACCGGCTCAGGAGCACATCTGTGAGCCCCAGTCACGCCCAGCAGCGCAGCACGTGCAGGATTCACAGAGCTGAGAGGCTCACATCTGGGCTACTTCAGTGGCGGCCCCACTCATTCGGTGCTGTCCAATTAACACCTAGTGCACCAATCTTGCAACCTTCGGCTTTCGCTTTCAAAATTCCTTTCAATGCCTCAACAAATAAAAGCAACTACATTTGGCAGGCTTACAATCTGTTTTAGCAAATCTATGAAATGCATTTTGAGGCTCTATTTGCAGTCTATGGTAATAACTTGGTAATTATTTCCAGAGATTTCCCATGAATTCTGAAGTGCTCTAGTAACTATGAATAGCCTGTCAGGTGGAGTGATTCTAGTACGCTGAAGCCGCTTTAATAGAGTGATTATTGAATACCTGTACTTACAGAAAGGCATGTGTCATGAATAACTGAGTTACCATGACATCAACCTAATCTCTTTTTTAAAGATGTCAGAACCATTTTGATAATCCCAAAGTCTATCTGCACTTCTCAAAGAAACCAGTAAAATCATCATCAATTAAACATTTAACGTTTCTCTTAACTGGCAGGTCTATTTGGTTAAACATTTGATCTCATAGAATTTTTAAAACTTAGGCTGCCTGAAGGGCGTCGGGGTGGCTCAGCCGGTTTAAACATCCAAGTCTTGGTTTCAGCTCAGGTCACGATCTCCTGGTTGGTGAGATGGAGCCTTGGATCAGCTTTTGCTGACAGTGCGGAGCCTGCTTGGGACCCTTTCCCTCTCTCTCTCTCTCTCTGCCCCTCCCGCTGTTGCTCTCTCTCAAAATAAATACACTTAAAAAAATTACCTAAATATGCCAGTGTGATTTTTATAATCAATGTGTTTGGTGCATTTATTCCTATCTTAAAGGACTGAGCTCAGTCATACTATTTTGATTGTAGGAAAACCTTAGCTGTTACTGCTTTGCTCCTATGACAACTTTTTGAGCATTTAAGATGTGCTTACGCCAAGAGTGCAGGCACACAACTCTCAATTTTAATACCTCCCATTGGGTATTGGAGTGTCTATAATGTTCTGCTTTTCCTTGCTTTGCTGCTAGTAGTGCTGCATGTTCGCTAGATACTCAAATGCCTTTTGATTTAAATTGAATAGGGAGAGGTCGGGAAGTTCCCAGAATAAAAACAACTCCAAATACATAGAAAAATTGAAGATGTTCCGATTAGACAGCCACCTGAGGGTTGGGACAAAGCATGTGGGATGATCCGGGCACCTCTCCATTTTATATTGTTACCTTTACCTCATCTTGTTTGATGGTCAGCAGGGGATTAACTGACCTAAGACCATTTTCTTTCACCTGCAGACATACACAGATGACATAAACTGGGTCAGAGGAAATAAAGCCTGATTCCAAGAAGGTTGGAAGGGAAACAAAAAAATCAGCACCTCGCCATGCACTAGGGTTATACGTCACATGGCTGGCGCCCGCTGTGGTCATTAAGGCTAGTGTGCATGGAAAGAAAGGGTAATGCTTGGCAGCTTTACCAAGCGTGGTGAGTTCGCTTATCCGAGACAAGGTTGGTTCTATAGGATTCTAAGAACACAAGTGCAAAAGAAGTGGCAGTGCTCAGTAAATGGCCCCCCTCTACTGGTCATAGTGCTACCCGTGTTCTAGAGCATTGTCTTTCTATTCTATAGCATCCGTCTTTTTACTTGTGAAAAATGGCAATTGTTCCATCTCTTCTACATTTTCAGGTTATCATGAGAACAAACAGGAATATTCACAACGGCTCTTAAAGCTATTTGATAAAACAAAATGAGCCAATAAACCGAAGGCATTTTTATTTTTGGTAAAACAACCAAGGAGCATGTATCTACAAAGTTAATAGTTGGTTTGAAAATACCTTTTCTTGGGTGCCTGGGTGCCTCAGTCGGTTAAGCATCTGACTCTTGATTCTGGCTCAGGTCATGATCTCACTCACGGTTCATGAGATGGAGCCCCATGTACGCTGATGGTACAGAGCCTGCTTCGGATTCCCTCCTTCCCTCTCTCTGCCCCTCCCCTGCTAGCGCTCTCTTTCCCTCTCTCTCTCAAAATAAATAAACTTAAAAAAATAATAAAATAACTTTTCTGTTTTTTAATTTTAAAGTATTTTTTAAAAATATTTATTTTTAAGAGAGAGTGAGAGTGCATAAGTGGGGGAGCGGCCACGAGAGAGGGGCACACAGGATCAGAAGCAGGTTCTGAGCTGCCAGACAGCAGAGAGCCTGATGTGGGGCTTGAACGCATGAACCCTGAGATTATGACCAGAGCTGAAGTCAGACGCTTAAATGACTGAGCCACCCAAGTGCCCCGAAATACCTTTTCTAATACAGACAAACAACCCCTCGCCTCTCATCCAAGCACTTCCTGGGTTCAAAGTGACACTGGTGTAACAAGCACACACATGCATTGGTTAAGTGATACCCTTTTGGGGACCTAGAATCAGCCCATGCTCTTCTTTACCAAGGTCTGCTTCGCTGCTGGTGTTCTCAATTTGTTTTTAAAATAGTAAATAAGATGGCACAGAAAAAAGACACTCTATAAATAAAAGTACATTTCTAAAATTAACCAAATGCTCTTCAGTGTATCTAAGATGTTTTGAACCCATGGCTCCTAGATTCTAAACTTCTTCGTAAATTGCTGGGGCGCTTGGGTGGCTCAGTAGGTTGAGCATCCGACTCTTGATTTCGGCTCAGGTCACAATCTCACAGTTCATGAGTTCAAGCCCTGTCAGGCTCTTGGCTGCTAGTGCAGGCCCTGCATGGGTCTCTCTCTCTCAAAATAAACTTAAAAAAAATCTTTAAAAAATAGATAAACTTCTACTTAATTTTTTTCTAATGTTTGTTTACTTTTGAGAGAGAGAGAATGAGAGAGAGAGAGAGAGAGAGAGAGAGAGAGAAAAGTGAGAGTGGGGGAGGGGCAGAGAGAGAGGGAGACACAGAATCACAAGCAGGCTCCAGGCTGTGAGCTGTCAGCACAGAGCCTGACGTGGGGCTTGAATTCACAAACCATGAGATCATGACCCAAGCCAAAGTCAGATGCTTAACTGATGAACCACCCAGGTGCCCCGATATACATCTACTTAAGTTGCTTCAAAAGAAGCAAAAAGTTAGATTGCAGAAAGCAACGTACATACAATTTCCTCTAAATATTACTATCTTTGGGGGGGGGGGGCTTGAGACTGAATCATTCTCCTACTGCCAGTCATTTCATAATTGAGTACAAAGTAAAATAGCAAGAGGAGGGCGTATCGCTCCTCCTAGGTTTCTTACGTAACACGCAGGGCAAGGCTAGCGGTGTGCCAGGTGAAGCTGTCTGTTGCCTCATGGTTCATTCTCCCCTCTCATCCCACGATCATATTAGTGTTCCTAAAACCCACTTTCGTCAAAGTCTTTTTTTGATTAAAAAGAAAATGGATTAAACAACAAAGCCATCCCTGTGTACACACACACACACACACACACACACGATCCTCCGTCAGTGGATCCCCATCGCCTACAGAATGAAATACATTCCTCTACATGGTACTCAAAATCTTCGTGTGGCCCCAGCCGTCTTCCCGGCTTGACCTCTACCAGCTTCCCTGCATGTCACGCACATGTGCGGCCAGAGTGGACGGACAGCCAGAACCCAAACGTGCCCCCGTTTTCCTGCTCCAGCGGCCGTGCCTCGTATGTGTCCCCGTCTCACCTGCCCACACTGTGCCTCCTTGACCAAGTCTGTGTCCTATGCCTGCCTTTTTTTTTTAAATTTTTATTTAAAAATTTTTTTTTTTTACAAATAGTTTATTGTCAAGTTGGTTTCCATATCACACCCAATGCTCATCCCCACACGTGCCCCCCTCCATGCCCATCCCCCCCATGCCTGCCTGTCTTTATAGAGCCTGTCTACCTCCGCCAACTCCATCAAACTTAATATGTCCCCCTTCCTCTACCACACTCCATATATAATTCTACCCTGTTCTATCTTGTGTTTTATTATGAGCTCCGTAAGAGCACAGTCTATATTTTAAGAAAGCACCTTTTACTCTCTCACACTGCCAAGTACGTGGGTGTACCGAAAAGACTGCGGCCATGTGACCAGAATCATGTGGCCATGGAGAAAAATGGTGTCTCTGTAACTTATTAGCTGAGAGACTTCTGAAGAGTTACTTAGCCTCTCTGAACTTTTTGTTCCTTTATTAGCACAGCAGTAATGATAATATCAAGCCTATGATACCGTGGTAAGAAACCGAACGTCTGTGAAAGTGTCTTTACTCAAAATAATTGCTCAGTGATGATTCCTAGCTGTCCTTCCCTTCTTAATGCATATTTACTAGACTGATTTAAGTATGCTAAATAAAGCAGTAAATATTTATGGATCTACTTTTCTAGTTCCTGACTCTAGTTATTTCAAGTTTTTATACAGGTGCAAAAATCCTTTTCTTCTGTCTCCCCGATGAGATGGTAACTTGGCCCCCAAAATATGGAAAGCACCAATCCCAAGCCCTATCTTTTCTGGTCAGTTATGTGCATTTTTATAATAGACATTCTAGGGGCACCTGGGTGGGCTCAGTTGGTTAAGCATCTGACTCTTGATTTCTGCTCAGGTCATGATCTCGTAGTTGGTAAGATCAAGCCCCGCATTAGTGCACAGCCTACTTGGGATTCTCTCTCTCCCTTTTTCTCTGCATCTCTCTCTCTGCCCCTCCCTGGGGCTTGTGCTCACTTGCACTCTCTCTCTCTCCCTCTCTCTCTCTGTCTGTCTCAAAATAAATAAACTTGAAGAGATAAGTAAACATTCTACTTAAGCTGTTATTCTGGAAGACTAGAATCTCATTGGCAATTCCTGATCTAATCATGCACAGGGGCTTCTAAGGTAAATATCACTAACTTTAGAAGACAGATACACAAGGCAGGGAAACAGATGGGTAATAATGGTGACACAATTCCGAGACCAAATAAATGTCTGTGGTAGTTGGGACAAAGGAAGAGGACACCAGCAGGTAGAAGAGTGAGGAGAGTTCATTGTTTAATGTTGATTAAGAAGCATTAGGGGCGCCTGGGTGGCTTAGTCGGTTAGGCGTCCGACTTTCGCTTAGGTCATGATCTCGCGGTTCGTGGGTTTGAGCCCCGCGTCGGGCTCTATGCTGACTGCCAGCTCAGAGCCTGGAGCCTGTTTCAGTCTGTGACTCCCTCTCTCTCTGACCCTCCCCTGCTCACGCTCTCTCTCTCTCTCCTAGAAATAAATTAAAAAAAAAAAGAAGAAGAAGAAGCATTAACTCCTACTTTACTATTGAAATGTGGCCAGGGCACCTGGGTGGCTCAGTCAGTTAAGTGTCCAACTCTTGGTTTCAGCTTCAGGTCATGATCTGAAGATCATGAGACACAGCCCCACATTGCACTTTGTGCTGAGCATGGAGCCTGCTTAAGATTCTCTCCGTCCTCTCCCTCTGCCCTTCCCCTGCCTGCACGTGCTTGCACTCTGTCTCTCTCTCTCTCTTAAAATAAAGAAACATTTTTTAAAAAGAAGAAAAAGCGGGCTGTCAGAAATAGGGATAAGACATGGACATATAGGTATCTTACACACAGGACTTCACATCCCCAGATATAAGCTTGCTATGGAATTCTGCCATCGAGTCTCATGTTTGTCTAAATGAGCAAACAAGCAAACACACGTCAGCCAGGACAGTGCGAACAACGGTCGTCTCGTTCCGTGAACCAAATTTCATTCATTCCGTAAATATGTGAGTCCCCACCAAGAGCTCATAACGAAAGTGAGAAGAAACGAGAGACGTTCTCTTCCTTTGTGAAACTTACTGCGCAAGAGAGATGTAGATACAGAACCAGCTATTTAGAATGACCCGTGTCAGGGCAATAATAACGATGGGCACAGGGGATGATAGCAGCCCAGAGGAGGCCACCTCGATGCAGCAGCCTCCTGGGGACAGCTCTGATGTCTGTCTGAGTAGGAAGGAACCAGGGAAGAAGAGATGGAAGTAGTTTCTAGAAACAGAACCATCATAAGCCAAGGCAGAGAGGTGTGAGGGAGAGGACTGACTCCTTGAGTGTGGCTGCAGCACATGTGTGAGGGAGCGCGGGCCGGAGGAGAGATGCTGGCAAGGTGGTCCCGGATGTAAGACTGTGAGTGAATCAAGTGCGGTTTTTGTGACTTTTCCCTCTTTTTTTTTTAATCAAAACCTTGCTTCCTTAACTGCATGCAAAATGTCTTCTGTGGAGACAAAATTTATTTCATTTTTAGTTCTCTTTGGCTGTCTATTTTTAAAAATAATTATACTCTTTGGAGAACAGTACATGACGGGGAGACATAGATTTTGTACAAATGTCAATTACAGTTTGGTCATAAATCAGGTAGCAACTGCCTGCCTTTACCGGGGGATAGATGGTGGCGAAGGATAGAAAGTGCCAAACACCTAGAGATAAATCAACTCTTCTGGGAGATGAGTTTATTCTTGTTTGAAATCGAGGGGTATCGAGTATTTGGACACAGCCTGGGAGGGAGGAGGTGCTAGAGAGTGTGTCTGGAGGGGCCCCTCACTACGGGTGAGCTGAATCTCATTCCCTGTCTCTTTTCTCCAGCAAACTCTCCGAGACTTTCCGTGCTGCCTCGCATCGCGCTGTGATCTGTCAGGGGTCTGGATGTGTCAGCAGTGGAGTGAGCCTTTGGAGTCTCGGCAGTAGAGTCTGGAATCTAAGCAGGGCACAGCAAATCCGTCAGTGCCGCATTTACCAAGAGACAGCACCGTAAGGGGGCAGCTAATGGACAAACAATTCGATTCTGTCTGAAAACGCTCGGGGCGTCAGAGCATCTTTTTCCAGCCAACCTGACATGCTCTAAATTGCAAGGTTCCCTTGCACCAGTTGAGCAAATCATCGCTTGTTAGTGACTTTAGGTAACCTCCGGGTCCTTTAGATGACTTTCATTCTTCTTTGTCCCGGATATTTTAAAATGACAGGTAAAAATATCTATTCTCAGAGTGTTGGAGATAAAAATGTTTGCCCTGAAGGGAATGAACTCTTGATTTAGCTAAGCTTCATTTTAAAAAGTATATCTTAAATAGAAATACAGTCTTATATGAAATTAAAATCTGACACACTTCACTGTGAAATAGTCTATTTTCTCTGCCGTATTACTTTTTTGCAGAGTTTTTTTTTTTAAACAAGGAAAACTTGGTAAATTGGACAGAAGACTGAAGACACAGAAAACAAAAATGTACTTATTCTGAGACGATGGTCACATCCCAAGAAGAAGTGGTTCCTGTTGGCAGGTGAGAAGAGAAAAACGCCAGCCTGCTATTTTTCCTTCTCAACAGGACAATAAGCAAAGTGTATCTGGGCCTAATAGACCAAGAGACTGGCAATTTCTGCCAGATCTGGGAGGATTTCTGCTTACCTATTAGTTCTTCTTTATTAACATTTTGATTAACTATTAAACAGTCTCTAGCACAACTGATTTACATGACTCAATTTATCATCACTTTTACAAAAGGGGCACTTACTGTTAGCCCCATTTCACAAATGAAGGAACTAAGGCTCAGAGAGTCCAAGGAACTCACTTAAATATAAAGATATATATTATATATATCACAGATACAAAGCTGCTGTCACACAGATATAAAGCTGCGGAACCCCTGTGGGTCTGACTCCGAAACTTTCTTCTGCACTTTCATACGGTATGCTCTACTTCTTTTCTCTAGTGACCATGTGAGCTCATTAAGAAGTGAGAAACCAC